CAAGACAGTAGACAACACTCTGATGATCAAGGTGCGGACGCCATGCTTCGACGACTTCGTTTCCGGCGACAGATGGCGGAGGAATTCCTGCAACATAGGGCAGCAGAGACTAAAGGTCTCTCCACTAGCGCCCGGGGCCTCGAGGGTGCGGCTCCACCTCTCACTACCTCAACCTTCCCGAGGAAAGCAGAGAGAGAAATTAAATCCCAGAAACTTTTAGGTATACCTCAGGAATATTTCGAGGACTGGGAAGGTAAAGTCCCTTTGGAGACGTGCAGGACGTGGCCCAAACGCTCTGTCGACAGTGAAAGATCTGACGACATAGATTTAAGAGGTTTTAAAATGATCTGTGACCCTCGTGTTTGTGACCGCAGAAAGGCAGGTCACCAACAGCTTCCACACAAGACCAGCCATATAGAAATAAACCTTGTGTATAAAGAGGAACAAAAGAATCAACGAAAATGTGTGAAAATTAGCAACAGTGAAACAGTGATAAATTTTAAGCCGACCGAGAAAGTTAATGTTGTCAAGGAGAGTAAAAGTGACCAGAAGTTGATACGTACTGTTGAAAGTCCAAAATTCGATAGTAAAGAAAAGAATGAAGATAATTCCAAGACGAGAAAAAATAAGAGTGAAGCAATAACGATGAGCCTCGACAGAAAACCTAAAAAATCTCAACCAGCCGAGATCTCCGACGAATACCCGAGGAGCGACACTGACTTCAGGATGCCGCCCTCGGGAAGTCCGTCCGGCAAGAAGTATTCCTCCAGAGCTGACGTCACGAAGAACATACTGAGAAAAAAGAAAAGTAGTCAGAAGGATTTAAGTGAGTCACCTGTTGCCCAAAAAGCCAGCAAGACTCAGGACAGTAGTAAAACAAAGGAAGGAACGATGGAACAGAAGAGAGGCAAACAAAAGGACCAGCTATCAGAGCCAGCAAGGAGAGAGAGGAATCTTTTGTGTTACACTACTGACACGAGCTCCACCCTCACGAATACTGACTCCGTTGGCAGGCGAGTGAAGAGAGTTAAGAAGAAAACTCTCGCTATACAGACTGAAGAAAGTGGGACAGTGATTTCTGAACAAAAGGAGGAAACGGAAGAAGCAGCTGGTACAGGAAGGGAGAAGATCGTGGAGGAGCCAACACGATTGAAAGTGTTGCCTTTAAAAGACAGTGAAGTAGTAAAAGAAAATGAATCGGCCAAAGAAAACGAATCTTCCACCTCAGCGGTAACATCGCTACGACGTAAGAGAAGTGTAAAAAGAAAAACAAAAAGTATTCAAACAGGTGTTTCTCTGGAAGATCCGGAAAATATTCCCTCTCCAAGTGTCCAGGATCTTATAACTGCTAAAAAACCCGTAGTAAAAGAAGCTGTAATATTCATTCCTCCTTTAGGGGATGGAGAAGCAGGTCGAAAGACTCCTAACACACTGCAAACTTCCAGAGAGAGATTAACACAATTAGACAACAGAATGGCAGAACCAAACATCAACCAGGACAACACCTCTATAAACACCAACACCAGCTCTTTGAGACGCATGAGGAAGGTGAGAAAAACAACAGTAACGACCCAGACTGACGACTACCTCACCCCCTTCCTCCCGGACACCTTCCCTCAGGACGCTCAACCTGATTCCGTCTCCGTCCGCACCAATTCACTCCGACGCATGAGGAAGGCGGAGAAGCGGACGGTCGAGATACAGACAGATGAAGTGATTCCTGTCAATTTCCAAAACCTGGACCTGACGTTGGCGGAGTTGACGGGATACGCGGAGGACCGTGGGGCACTACTTGGTGTACCTCAACACTCAGACTCGCTCATCTACGTCAACATCCCGGCGGCGTTGTTGGAGGTGAGCGAGTCTGGTAACGACGCCGACGTGAGTGAGGCTGAGAGTGAGGATGGAGAGACATACGCCAGGGGCGCCGCCATGAGGATCTACAGCAGGGTGACGGAGGAGGACGAGGAGGACCTCATACTCGACATGGAGAGCAGGCGTGACAACCTCATTGGTGGGAACGAGGTGACCGTCTCTCGCCTCAACATTACGTACGGCATAGAACGTGAGATCGAGATTGAGAGAGAAGATGGTGAGAGTGATGATGATGACACCGGTGCTCCTGATGGTGAGAGTGACCACGATGGTGATGCCGGCGGGGCTCCAGATGGTGAGAGTGATCAAGAGATTGACTCAGTTGCTCCTGGTGTGGAGAGTGATCACTATCACTCCACAGGCGCTCCTGATGGTGAAAGTGACCACGATAATGATACAGGTGTCCCGGACGGTGAGAGTGATCAGGAGGGTGACATAGGTGCCCCGGATGGTGAAAGTGATCATGAAGGTGACCAGACGACTACCCAGGATGATGAAAATGAACAAGATGTTCTGGGTGACACTGAAACGGATAACCCAGATGGCGAATATGACGACAGTGAAGCACACCAAGAAGATGAAACGGAAAGTAGCCAATTCTTAACCCGTAGTTTTATTCCACCTGTTATTAACGTAGAACCAGTGGCAGAAAGTGATGAAGGTGACAGTGACGAAGACATTGGCGATATCTACGTGGTTACTTATCACCAACGAGAAGAGATAGAAAATGGGTACGATTATGACATACTTGAAGACGAAGATGAGCCACACCTGGACACAAGAGTCCCCTTTGAAAGAGAGCAAAAGGACATCGGAAATGGGGAAGAGGAAGAGAAAGTACGAGAAACATACTATGAAAAAGAGAGCCAAGAATACGAAAGAGGGGAGAGGAAGGAGGGCGAAGATAAACAGCAGGAAGACTCAGCAGGTGAAGAAGATCGTGAGATAAAATTAAAGGTCCGTCGTGTAGGTTCCATGGACGTCGAGTTAGAAAGCGAAGACATCAGGAGAGCGGATGGTCAATCAGTAGACTACGAAGAACTAGATAAAAAGATGAATTTGGACAATGTCGAGGAAATGAAGGAACGAGGGAGAGACGAAGATAAATGCGTAGACGAGGAAGATGAAAAAACTGCGTGTACTGAAAGAAAAGGAGACGGCAAGACTGAGGAACGTGCAATCAGGGACTCAATAGAGGAAACAGAAATCCTAGAGGAGGGGGAAGAGGCAGCATCCGGCACACACAGCCTACCATCACAGCAAATCACCGAAGGCACTAGTGAAGGAGCACTCATTAACCTATCTGTGCCAGGTATCGCTCATACTGGCGAAGAAGAGAAAGGTAATGAGAGACTAATATCAGAGAATATTGTCGATTATGATAATCTAGGAAGAGGTGCAGACGAAGAGAATACAGCAGATGAGAGAGAGAGACAACAACAAGAACAAGCAAGCGACACAACTACAAAGATTCCTGAGGGTGTGTTTAAGGCACAAGCAATGCGTAACGCGTCTCCAGACTCTTGTGGTGAAGAAAAAGAGAAGACGACAACAGTAATAACGGGGGAGAATAATGGAGAAAAGAGAACAATCCTCGGAAAGATGAAATTTCAGAAGACAGCTACACACCATGAGACAAGGTCCTTTGTTGACAGTCGAGAAGAAGTGGAGGTATATGATGAAGACCCGAGGGTGGGGGCTGATAAGGATCTCACTACAGGTTCTTTACACAACGTTAAAGAATCCCTTGTTAGTGTACAGGAGATGGTCTCAGAGGAACAAACTCTTGAGCCGGACCGTGATGACCCACTGACTACCATAGTCTGTGATGACCCATTGACTACCGCAGTCTGTGATGACCCATTGACTACCATAGTCTGTGATGACCCATTGACTACCGCAGTCTGTGATGACCCATTGACTACCGCAGTCTGTGATGACCCATTGACTACCGCAGTCTGTGATGTGATACCGCAGTCTGTGATGACCCATTGACTACCGCAGTCTGTGATGACCCATTGACTACCATAGTCTGTGATGACCCATTGACTACCGCAGTCTGTGATGACCCATTGACTACCGCAGTCTGTGATGACCCATTGACTACCGCAGTCTGTGATGACTCACTAACTACTGCAGTAAGTGGAAAAGAAAATAAAGTAAACAAAAACGAACTAAGAAAAGGGGAAGAAGACAGAATCGATAGAAGACAAAACTCACAAGAAAAACTTCCAGGAAGGAGTGAAGAAAAGGCACCATTAGATTTCAGGGAAATCGTGACTATTGTCCCCACTGACGTACAGGACTGGATGGGAGGTGGTATGGGTGAGGCGCGTGACGGGGAGCAAGACAAGACTGAACCACCTGAGTGTCATCCTGGCGAGAGTGTGTCGGAACAAACACTCAGCGACGAGGAGAAAGCCGACTTACGATCCCTCGAGTGGGGCCATACCTTTAGTGAGGAGGACGAAGACGTCATAGTGATCAGTTATAGAAAACCCGGACATGGGAAAGAGGATTTTGAAGACGGAAAAGGTGACATCGATTGTGGGAAAGTGGACCTCAGTAATGGGAACGGAAACATCAGCTATAAGAATGAATGGGAGGATGAAGTGGAAGGTGAGAGAGAGGTGGAAAGAGATTCAGAACGGAAACAGCTCGGGGAAGTAGAGGAGGAGGAGGAGGGGGAGGGGGAGGGGGAGGAGGAAGAGGACTTCACAGACAAGCTTCCCCCTAACACGGAACAAAGCAGAGAGAGAGAAGAAGATAAAGAGGCCCAGGAAGCAGCACCAGAGAGTAAAGAAGGCGAGAAGGACAGACGGAAAAAGCCAAGAAAAAAGAAAGACACCGAGTCGAAGAATGTCGAGAGGAAAGGAGAAGAGACACAACAAAACACAGCCGAGGATAGTGAGGAAATAGAGGGAGAAAGACAACCACAAGAAACAGCGGATGATAGAGCGAAGAGAGAGGTAGAAGAGCAGACACAGGAACAAATACGTGATGATGTAGGGGCGATACCGAAAGAGGAGAAGAAAAAGAAAAAGAGACCAAGACAGAGAAAAAATAAAAGCAAGAAGGAGAGGATGGATCAGAGAGCAAGGGAGGAGGAGGAGGAGGAGGAGGAGGAGATGGTGGGAGAGAGGACGGGGGAGCGGGAGAGGGCGGATGCTGTGTCAGGAGGAGAGGCGGAAATAACCCCCGGGAGGAGCCAGACGGTGGACAGTCATGATGGGACGACCAGGAAAATAAGTGAGAGGGAAGAACGGAGAGACGGAGGAGAAGCAGAAGGGGATAACGATAAGAATGAAGAGAGAACAAAAGAAACAAATGAGAATGAATATGCAATGGGAAATGAAAGAAGGGAGAGTATTAAGCAGAGAATATATAAACAGTGGGCAGAAGAAGTAGATGAAGAAGGTTCTAAGGAGTGGAGTCCTCTGAGAACTGACGCGAGGAGAGAAAACATACGAGGAGGAAGCAGCAAAATGAATGATAATAAGACCTTGGGAGAAGGAGAAACGGAAAAGATTCATACAGACTTATTGGCCGAATTTGAGACACTGACGGAGGAAGACACTTCGAATTATGAGGACGAAGACTCAAGCCGCTGTGAGGAGGAGGAAGAGGAGAACTCGAGTCGTTATGAGGAGGAGAGTGGGGAGGCAGGAGAAGGCGGAGGGGAACAGAACGCCTACGAGGAGTACATGATGATCAGGGAGGAGGACGACTGCCTGGATGAGATGAAGGCTGTAGACCTCATCTTCAGGGACGTGTTCAAGGATTACAACGACGGAGAGTTCCTGACGGATAATGACGTCTCTGAGAGCGAGTATGACGAGCACTTGCAGTCAGTGAGAGGCGCGGAGAGGGAGCAGCCGGGGGAGGAGAAACCCCAGCCCCAGATCCACCCACTCCTGCAGGACACGTCTCGGGGCGCTCACTCAGCAAATCATCGCGACCCAGCCTGTCAGAGGAGGGGGCATGAGTTTCCCCAGGCGGGTTCTGAGGCTGGGACACCCGCACGGGGAAGGGGAAGTCGTGATCTTCCTCAAGTGGGTCCTCGGAGCTGGACACCCACACGAGGGAGAGGACGTCGCGGTCATCCTCATGCGGGTACTCAGGTTGAGATACCCACTAGGGAAAGGGGACGTGGCGGTTTCCCTCAAGCGGGTACTCGGCCCTGGACACCCACACGGGGGAGGGGATATCGTGTTCTCCCCCAAGTGGGTTTTCAGGCAGGGACACCCACACGAGGGAGGGGACGTCGCGCTCATCCTCAAGCGGGTACTCGGCCAGAGACACCCACGCGAGGGAGGAGACGTGGTGGTCTCCCTCAAGCGGGTACTCGGCCAGAGACACCCACACGGGGGAGGGGACGTGTTGGTATCCCTCAAGCGGGTACCCAGAAGCCCTCAGGATATAAGCTTTCCAAAGAGGAGGGAACCTGTGAACAGGACGGCCCCCGACACACTGGCGAGATGGAAGGTCAGTACCTGTGACGCCCTGCCTCGAGTTGACCCGACCTGACCTTACACTGGCTGCCCAATAATATAACCCAGGAGTGTGTGCCTAATACTGCAAGGTACGACTAACGACTCTAATACCTACTGTAGTGTGTCGTGTAGGGTCGTGTCACCTGTGTGTCTTGTAGGGTAGGATCATGTCACCTGTGTGTCATGTAGGTAGGGTCGTGTCACCTGTGTGTCATGTAGGGTAGGGTCGTGTCACCTGTGTGTCATGTATGGTAGGGTCGTGTCACCTGTGTGTCATGTAGGGTAGGGTCATGTCACCTGTGTGTCATGTATGGTAGGGTCGTGTCACCTGTGTGTCATGTAGGGTAGGTTCGTGTCACCTGTATGTCATGTAGGAATGAGGTCGTGTCACCTGGCAGTGTCATGTAGGTAGGGTCGTGTCACCTGTGTATGTGTAGGTAAGTCGATAATACTGTGTGTCATGTAGGGTAGGGTCGTGTTACTTGTGTGTCATGTAGGGTAGGGGCGTGCACCGAACCTTCGTGTCATGTAAGGTAGGGTCGTCACCTGTATGACTCATGTAGGGTAGGGTCGTGTCACCTGTGTGTCATGTATAGATAGGGTCGTGTCACCTGTGTCATGTAAGGTAGGATCGTGTCACCTGTGTGTCATGTAGGGTGAGATGGTATGCACCTGTGTGTCATGTATGGGTAAGGGTCGTGTCACTGTGTATCATGTAAAGGTAGGATCACATTAATGCACCTGTGTGTGTCTTGTAGGGTAGGATCGTGTCACTGGCTATGTCTTGTAGGGTAGGGTCGTGTCACCTGTGTGTGTTTATGTAGGGTAGGGTCATTTGTGCTCACCTGTGTGTTATGTGGTCGCGTCATCTATGTATGTGCAGGACAGGTCGTGTCACTACTGTGTGTCATGTGTATGGTAGGGTTGTGTCACCTGTGTGTGTCTTGTATGGCAGGGGTCGTATCATCTGTGTGTGTCATGTAGGACAGGGTCCTAAATTGTCACCTGTGTCATGTAGGATAGAGATGAAGTGTCACTTATGTGTCATGTAAGGTAGGGTCATGTTACATGTGGTGCTTGGGTCGTCATCTGTGTGTCATGTATGGCAGGGTCGTGTCACCTGTGTGTCATGTATGGCAGGGTCGTGTCACCTGTGTGTCATGTAGGGTAGGGTCGTGTCTTAGCTATGTATTCGTGTGGTAGCTATACACTTTTGCCAAAGCTATGTACTCCTGTGGTAGGTATACACTTCTGCCATGGCTATGTACTCGTGTGGTAGCTATACACTTTTGCCAAAGCTATGTACTCGTGTGGTAGCTATACACTTGTGCCACGGTACTGTGGGTATACACTTGTGCCACGGCTATGTACCGTGTGGTAGCTATACACTTGTGCCAGCGGCTATGTACTCGTGTGGTAGCTATACACTTCTGCCATGGCTATGTACTCTCCACTTCTGCCAAAGCTATGTACTCGTGTGGTAGCTATACACTTCTGTCATAGCTATGTACTCGTGCGGTAGCTATACACTTCTGTCACAGCTATGTACTCGTGTAGCTATACGCTTCAGCCATGGCTATGTATTATGTACTCGTGTGGTAGCTATACACTTCTGTCATGGCTATGTACTCGTGTGGTAGCTATACACTTCTGTCATAGCTATGTACTCGTGTGGTAGCTATGCACTTCTGCCAAGGCTATGTACTCGTGTGGTAGCTATACACTTCTGCCATAGCTATGTACTCGTGTAGTAGCTTACACTTCTGCCATGGCTATGTACTCGTGTGGTAGCTATACACTTTTGCCAAAGCTATGTACTCGTGTGGTAGCTATACATTTCTGCCATGGCTATGTACTCGTGTGGTAGTTGTACGCTTCTGTCATAGCTATGTACTCGTGTGGTAGCTATACACTTTTGCCAAAGCTATGTAATCGTGTGGTAGCTATACATTTCTGCCATGGCTATGTACTCGTGTGGTAGCTATACACTTTTGCCAAAGCTATGTACTCGTGTGGTAGCTATGCACTTCTGCCAAAGCTATGTACTCGTGTGGTAGCTATACATTTCTGCCATGGCTATGTACTCGTGGTAACTATACACTTCTGTCATGGCTATGTACTCGTGTGGTAGCTATACACTTTTGCCAAAAGCTATGTACTCGTGTGGTAGCTATACACTTCTGTCATAGCTATGTACTCGTGTGGTAGCTATACACTTCTGTCATAGCTATGTACTCGTGTGGTAGCTATACACTTCTGTCATGGCTATTTACTCGTGTGGTAGCTATACACTTTTGCCAAAGCTATGTACTCGTGTGGTAGCTATACACTTCTGCCATGGCTATGTACTCGTGTGGCAGCTATACACTTCTGCCATAGCTATGTATTCGTGTGGTAGCTATACACTTCTGTCATAGCTATGTACTCGTGTGGCAGCTATACACTTCTGTCATGGCTATGTACTCGTGTGGTAGCTATACGCTCTTGCCATAACTTTGAGTTTCTATAATAAAATGCACTTTTACTGTAACTAGGCACTCGTATATTATGAGCTTGAGTTTAATTATGTACTTGTTATAGCTATGCACCTTGATTTATAGCCAGCCGTTCTAGTTATAGCCATGCGTTTAGAACTATGGGGCTGTGTTAGAGCTATGCACTCCTGCTGCGGCTGTGCACTTGGGTTTTAGCTATGCAACCGTGACGAAACGTGATGCAGAGTAAAGAAATTAAAATTAAAATGCAGTTACCGAATATTATAACACACACACACACACACACACACACACACACACACACACATTATTTAAAAGAAAGCTTATTTTGTTAAACGAGGCTCTGCTCTGCTTTGCTCTGCTTTGCTTTGCTCTGCTCAGTTAGCACCATAAACGACCATAGACGTTTACAATGAGCGATGCCTTGATCAATGTGGCACTGATTGACGGAAGCTGAGTTGGCGTCCTTTGTAGCGTAGCAGAGCAGTTCCTTATGTGCTCTCTCTCTCTCTCTCTCTCTCTCTCTCTCTCTCTCTCTCTCGTGTCCTCCGCTAATTACAAAAGTTCACTACACACTTACGACAAGTTCCATGTGACATAATACACCTTCCCAAATCCCTCCCTCCCAAAATCGTAAGTGAATTTTTCCCCTTAACTCACGACCGTTGATTCCATTTATACTAGGTACAGTCTCAATGTAGTTTCGACACCATTTTGAATATATCTTGGTGTCGTAGTTAAAGTGAATTAATTAGGATCGTTTTCACATCTACAGTTAGGAGGAAAATTTAACGTAGGAACCTTCGAGTAATATTTAGGTTGGAGGTGAATGCAGTAGACGTTAATAAACATTTGGAGCATTAACTTCACATATTAACATTAACACAATAACATTATCTTTATATATTAACTTCAACACTAATATTACCTGGACATTAACTTACAAAACTCTAACATTACCTCAACAGATGTTATTTTCTTCAGTTACACCTTAACACTGCCCCCCCCTCCTCCCCCTGTTGCTCTGTTAACAGGTGTTTTTCCATCTGTTGACACCTGTTGGTCCTGTTGTAGTCTGTTGTGTAGGAATATTGAATTCTTCTTCTTCTTCATCTTCTTCTTTCTTCTTCCTTCTTTCTTCTTCCTTCTTTCTTCCTTCTTCTTCTGTCATAACATCCATTGACTCCTCTTTGCTTATTCCTTGTTATATCTCTTGTTTTTCTAAATTTCTTTATTCTGTTTCTTATCAATCTTTGCCTGTTTCCACCTTGTTCATCCCCAGTTACAAATTCTTGTTTGTCTTCATCTCTTTCTTCATTACTTCTTTATCATAACATACTCCACTTCCTCTTCCTCCTCGTCAATTCCCTTTTATTGATTTTTTCCCATTTTTGTCTCTTATCGTGATAATACACAACTTCCTCCCTCTCCCCCTTCTCCTTGTTTATCTCTTTCCCTCTTCTTATTTTTATCATAACGTCATCTACTTCCTTCTACTGTACCTCGTCAAAGGAAGATGTAGTATTGCAATATTTCCTTAGAACCATAACACAGTATTTTCAGTCCTATCCAGCCCCTCCCCCCCAAGCAAAGCAAAAAGATCCACATCCTCCGAGTCTTATGTTTTGGGTCGCTTACACTCCGATAATTCCTCCTTGAAAACAGACCATTTTCCCTTTTTCTGTAAGTTCCTGACTAAACCTAAATAATCTATATCTTTTTCCAACTTGTATTGTGGTTGCTTTTCCTTTGATAATATCTTTCTTGATGGAGAGTATGTGACCATTTATACTTGTCTACTTATCTCTTGTATATGTCAAATAAAACGATATTTCTCTCCTCTCTCTCCTCACAATCTCTTAGTACCCTTCCCTACTCTGCCTTCCATAAATGTCAAAGAAAACTCTCTCTCTCTCTCTCTCTCTCTCTCTCTCTCTTTCTTTTGTTTTGATCGTCTTTCTCCAGATAATCACCTTCCTGCCCACTTTCCCTTATCTTTCGTGTGTCTGTGTAACTTAACAACACCCTCCTCCTCCTCCCACCTCCTCCGGCCCACCTCCCTGAGTGAGACGACCTCTTGCAACCCAACAGAGAAACTGAAGCGGTCATGCATGAGGACTCAGGCGACCCAGACGGACGCCGGGGTGGTGAGGAAATCCCTGCCTCACCTCTCGCTTAGTCCCGCCAGTGAGAAGGTGGGGGACATTTGGATGATTTATTTTAACAACTATAATTTATTTCCATGGATGATTTATATTAACATTATAATCAGTTACTTGGGAATGATTATTATTAACATTGTAATCTGTTTTAACATGTGTTTGATGTTTTATAACTTGTGAGGGTTATGTCGGGTTTAAAGTTGGCATGAAATTTTTATGTGTGTGTGTGTATGTGTCACGTCAGCTCTGAACTTCTGAACTGAAACATGTACAAGAACATCAGGTGTGTTGGGGAGATATATGTGATACCCGACACACCTGATTTCTTGCAGGTGTTTAAGTGTTATTTCAGGCGTTTAAAGTAGACCTGCCACACACACACACACACATATATATATATATACATACATGAGTACCTTGCCAATTTTGTAACCTCCTGAGGCCCTGATATGTTCCTTTAACATATTTACATTAACTTATAATACCTGGTATATAAAGTACAGTATTTAATAATGTAGAGGTCTCATCACTGTCTTCTCCATTTGTTTAATTTTATAATATGCTCAGTTTGAATATTAAAATTAGTGAAGTTTTGTTCAAATTTACTATTTACTCTACAGTTTGGTTCAGTGATGTAGTTTCTTAATTTATTCAGTGAAATAATTGGTTTCTTAACCTTTTCAGTAAACTGTAAGTTCTTTTGTTCCATATCATTCAACAATATCATATATTCTTTGAAACTTTATTTTTTCTTAGTACTATTTGGAGCATAATTTACATCAGCAAGATATTCAGTGCTGTTCAGTATAGTTATCAGTTGATAACGTCATATCTCAGTAAGAAATTAGTAAGTTAAGTAATGTCTCTGTTGGTTATTTTCTAAGACTGTCTTTGATCCGTAGGCTGAAATGATCTCTCAGGGAGCTCAGACTAATGGCGAAGGTGGGCGACGCAAGCTGGTGAAGAGCCTCTCTGAGGTCGCACGCTACGAGGGTGTCCAGTATGAGATCTATGACCTGGATGACCTCACCGAACCTCCACTGCCCACCAGAGCCATGTCTGAGGGCCCTCCGCCATGTCCTCCAAGATTCTCCACCTTTGACATAACCTTAGACGAAGGACCTCCGCCCCCTCCTCTCAAATTCCGACAAAATTACCAAGAGATCTTCATCGACTCTTCCCCACATAAGCCACGTCGAGGCCTCCTGCAGAAGACACTTTCCGAGGGTGAGATACTGTCAGAGCGTCGGAAAGCCTTGAGTTTGGCCTCGGGTTACCTCGAGGTCGACATTAATGGCTACAGTGACAACGAGGAGGAGGTCATTGAGCCCCAGTGTGTGAATGAGGTCTCCCGTGACCTCTCCCGCAGTAGGATATTCACCCCAGATTCCTTTATAGAAGAGGAGGAAGAGTTCCATGAAAATATGCTCCATAAGGAAATTCTCCCTTCCATATTACCCTTTGAGAGAAAGTTATCGCAAGTATCGACTGATTCAGATCTAAAAACTTTTGATCCAAATGAATTCCGGACTGAGGAACACTTGCAAAGCCAACTTGCAGCCTTATCACTAGATTCCCTGGCCGAAAGTGGGCCATCATTACTCGAAACCGGGTCATACGTAGAAGGGCTTTGTGCTAGGGCTGGGTCGCCCATGTTTTATGCCGGGACGCCCAGCGAAGCAATGGGAGTTGGAGAGTTCGGGGACCACCTGGAAGAATCGATGAGTGAGAGTCAAGTGACGGTAGTACAGCGAGCCTTAGCAGCGTCTTCTCAGGTCATTGCTTCAGACTCAGAAAACGGGAGCTTCCACTTGACGGACCACTCCTCGGCGGCCACTACGCCATCGACACGTCACAAGAGCCTCCCTACTGCCGGCAGCTTCGAGGAGGACCTTGACGACGAATTGCTGCCACGTCTACGGGTATCAAGTCTCGTTCACAGCGCCACCACACTCTCATCCATCGAGGACGAGCCGACGAGCATGAGTGAGAATGTGATATCTGATAGTTCTCAAGGAGTGACCATCAGCACGACCTCCAGTGAGAGAGATAAAGCCATCGCTGGCTCAACAGACAATGACTACAGCTCTATACGAAGTGGAGAATCTATGACCATAAAGTCTGAAGTTGTTGAAGAAGAAGAGTTTGAAGGTGATATTATAATAGAGGAAAATATCATGGCTAAATTGGTCCAGGAAATGAAGGACGGAGAGTCAGTATCACAAACACCAATCAAAACTTCCGACTTCCGGGACGACGCCAGAAGATTGGCCTCCCCGGAGTCGGACTCGTCCAGTAGTCTCTTCACAGAGCAGGAAACGTCCAGGAGTCCGGTATCGGGAACCACCAACACGATGACGTCCAAATCTGACCTCTCTCGCACCGACTCCCACCCAACTGACCAATCAGAGACCTCGGAAGATTACATCACGGCTACAGAGAACAGCATCAATGACCAAGACGCTCGTCGAAGTTATTCTTTAGAAGAGAGACACGTATCTTCCCCCCCTGGGATGGCTGATATATATGAGGACGAAGCCTTGACGCCCAAGTTCATGAGCCCCGAGATGAGCGAGGTCCTGGCCAGCCTGGAGCACCACGAGCTAAGTGACATCACAGAGGGTCTCAGTGTTGTCAGCGACTTCGAGACAGCTCAAGACCTCACTTCCCCAGACGGCGACACCACCACGTCCGCCAGCTATTACATCGACTACTCGCTTGGTGAAGAATCTGATAAGATCATAGAAACGAAAGTCAAGCCTGAGATCCCTCCCAAACCCACCTTTTTACCTAAGCCAGAAGTGCCACCCAAGCCAGATAGATTGTCACCCTCAAGGGAGACTTCACCCCTGTCGCTGGAGTATCGGGAAATTGATGACATTGAAGTTGACACAACAGTGAGAAGACAAGAAAAGTGTCCGGAGGAGAGCAAGACTGGAGCCATCAAGAAACGTTACTCTGCTGGAGGGAAAGTCACCAAGGATGACAACAGAAGGTATTCAAAGTATTTCGAGGACAACGACAAAGGTGAGTTGTCTGAAATTCGAGGTCAGAGTCAACAGTCGTGGTCAGAAGAAGAGAGAGAAAGGACCAAACAGGCACTGAAGTTAGACTTCCCTCCGGGGGTCACCATGTTTGGGGAGGCTCCCAGCTGGCCACAACCGGATGACCTAAAGACTGGAGAAATGGAGAAAAAACTGAAAGTGTTTGATAAACCCAAGAAATCTGTTAAAATTGATCTTGCCAGTGTTGAGGACCTCCAGGCCATGCGGTCGAAGGATGAGAGTCCAAGCGACAAAGAAACAGAAGTTCCATCAAGTGAAGCCAAACCCACCAAGACCAAACACGACAAAGCTAAACGTAAATCAGAGGAGATCACGACGCCAGGGATGGTGAGGAGCCCAGCCATGCATGAAGGATTCAGACTTGAGGACTGGACGCCAATTCGAACCCCCATGACTCCTCCCGAGAGAACTATGGACGTTGATACTTCCGATGAGTCTTACTCTGAGGGTCCCAGACACCCCCCTAAAGGACGTAGTCCTGGTAGACGATCAAAGGATAGTCCAGGAAAAAAAGGTGAGACTCCCAGTTTTCCAGGGGAAAGTCCAGTGAAACAAATGAGTGAAAGACAAAGTCCTGGAAAGATCATAAGTAAGGCAAGAGAAAGTCCACTGAGGGAAAGTCCAAGACAGAGTCCGAGACGAACAGGAATTCAGCAAATCAGTCCTATAAGGGATTCTGTAGCATCAAAAATAGAGAAGACAGTCACTCATCCTGTGGAGATCCACCAACGTCAGAGTCCAATCAGAATCCAGAAACCTGGAGGTGAACCAATGAAAAGAATGAGTGAAATACCTGTTGGCTCAGCCCGTGAGACTCCCGAGGTGGTGAAAAGACACTCGGCAGACATAACCATCACAGGAAAAGAGACTCAGGATCTCCTCAAGCCGTCAGGCGTTGTGACTGGGTACCTGAGGACAGGCAGCCAGAGTCCTACGTCCAGGGAGAGACCACTGCAGCTGCCGGAGAGTAAACTCCTCGCTATCGCACCAATGAAAGACTCCAGGAGAAGTGCCGAGTCTCTAAGATCTATGAGTCCCGGGTCTGACAATGTGTTCTTGGGTGGAAGTCGGGAACAGCTTGACGACGACAGCCGGCCAGCTCTCTGTGTACAGTGTGGAGAGCGACCAGCATCCAGGGAGGGGTTGCTTCGGCCCACACCACCAGCTGGGTCCGGAGTGACAGTTGAGCGTCGCTTCTCTGACAGGGAACCCTCCAGGCCTCGCACTGTGGGGTATCGAGCCAAATCTGAGGAGAGAAACACATTCACTAAGGACTGGGGGTAAGTACTTGTGTGGGAAGGTACAGCTGTAGGCTTCATGCTTTATTGATTTCCAAGGTTTTCTCTGAGTTCTTAGAGTGTTCTTCACCTCCTGTTATTTCTAAGTACTGTATCATGTTTATTAATAAGAGCATGTAACAATTCTTTATTTACATGTAACAACTCTGTATATACCTAGCAACTCTGTACACTTAATAATAATGTGTACCTGTAATAACTCTTTGTGGGTATATAATAATTCTTTGTGTGCACATAGCAACTCCTTACATTGGGTTAGGCCAGGACAAGTTAGCTTGGGTTGGATTTGGTTAGAATAATTATAGTTGGGTGTTTTTATGTTGGGTTAGGTCAGGTCAAGTGGGTTGGGTAGCTTTACTTTGGGTTAGGTTGGGTCACTTTATGCTGAGTTGGGTTAGATTAAATTGCATTTGATTGAGTTAAGGCAGATCAGGTTAAGGTAGGTCGTATCAAGCTGTACTGAGTTTGGTTTTGTTAGGTTAATCTAGAATAATTTGAATTAGGTTAAGCTGGATTACATTATAGGTTAGGAGAGGTTATGTTTGTTGAAGCTAGATTAGGGTAGATTAGAATAAGATAAATTTGGTTAAAGTTAGGCGAGGTTATTTTAGGTTAAGTTAGGTGCAAGAACCCACTAACTCCCTCCCTCACCACAGGATGACGCCTATCAGTCTAGAGCAGGGTGACACTCCCCGCCATGACAGCGACGACGACGAGAAGGGCATCTACCTCGAACCCTACCGCAATGCCCCCTGGCTCTACGTGGACCCCAGCGATGAGGCCAAGGTGAGGGGGACATCCTGGGGGTTTCTTAGTCTTAGGATATAATTATATTAAGCTGTTAAGTATGGTGCCCTTAAGGTATTTTCTTATCATATGTTAACATTTTCATGAACGACGATGATATAGCCCTTTAAGGACGATAGTTTAACACTTTAAGGACAATGGCTTAACACAGGGACAGTGGTTTAACCTATTGATGACGATGCTTTAACACTTGGGGTGTGTGTAACCTCGGTGTGTGACGTTGTGTTGCAGGTATGGCGGAGGGACGAGGGGTCACCCAGCCCCATGCCTCACCACCTCAGAATACCCGGATTTGATGACGGCTTTGAGCCCTGCGACACACCTGAACCTGACTCGAGGCCCGACTCCCGGCAGGACACTTTAAGGGATGTCATGGAAGACAGCCTGCAGGACACCTTGAAGGACCTCATACAGGAAACCGTGCAGGATCAACAAGACACGAAGGAGTTTGTTGATAAGGAGGCAAAACTAAGCCAGAAGAACAGAAGTAAGAGAAATACAGGTTTAGGTATAACATTTAGGTGTAGTAAATATCATGTGGTGATAGTTTCGTAAATCTGGTGCCTTAGGAAGAATATCTAATATATATTCATAGACTTAAAGGTGGTGTATTAAGTTAGATAAGTATATAAGCATATGTAAACACTATCTAATCGTTGAATTTTGAAGGCCTCTTACTCGCCTGACCTCCTCCCGTCCTTCCTACTCCACAGTTAGACGTGCGTCGGTAGAGTCGACGTGCAGCGAAAAGGACTTCCGGAGGAGGTATCAGGCTATCACCCACAGGATGGTTCATCGTAAGGCCTCCGTCGAGATGTACCGCAGGCTGGTCCAGGCCACATTCCGTGAGTACTCGAGGGCGATCTTCCTCACAGTTCAGAGCGCCTCTCCTCGTTCCTCCTAAGGTCACAACACCATTCTATTGGTGTCCTGACCTCACAGCACCACCCTGCCTCACAGACCTACCTGCTGGAGATGACAACAGGACCTCAAAACATCATCTATCATATTGACGTAAAAATTATGAGTATGGGAACGATTACATGACCTCAGTGCCGGGTGTTGCCTTCATACCCTGAACGTCTTTACGTGTTACTCTGGTGGGGAGACTCGGTACCCCACAGGTGTTTGGTGCATGAGGAGAGCTTTTATATGTAACATACTGTTTTGGGTTCCATACATTACTCTCCAGGCAGATGTGTGTGTGTGTGTGTGTGTGTGTGTTTGTGCGCGTCTCTCTTTCTTTCTGTCAGTGTTTTTGTGCATTAAAAAGTCTATCTATCTATCTATTGCCACAACATATAACCACCAGCCAATTATATATGTTGGCAATTGTTAAATGTGTAAAATTAGACAACAAAGGGAAGTGTCCAGTGTATACATTTGTAAATAAACAGTGAAAATGTTTGTTGTAAATGACTGTTGACCAATGGCTGTAAAAAAAGCAAACATTGTAAATAACAGCGTATAAATGACTCGTTTGTAAAAGACAAACTGTAAACGGCGTAGTGTTGTGTTTGTAAATGACTCCCGTAAAGGATTGTTCGTGTTTATTTCCAGTTTTCATTGGTCAGTTCCCTCATTGCGATGATTTCTATTGGCCAGTACAATATTATTAAGTTCATTGGTAAACTACGTCTTTATGGGTTTATTTAATGTCTCCAATTTTATTTATTCAATGTTTGTTAAATTATCGTGCTGGTGTAGGTTAAATTATCGTAGTAGTGTAGGTTAAATTATCGTAGTAGTGTAGGTTAAATTATCGTAGTAGTGTAGGTTAAATTATCGTAGTAGTGTAGGTTAAATTATCGTAGTAGTGTAGGTTAAATTATCGTAGTAGTGTAGGTTAAATTATCGTGCTGGTGTAGGTTAAATTATCGTAGTAGTGTAGGTTAAATTATCGTAGTAGTGTAGGTTAAATTATCGTAGTAGTGTAGGTTAAATTATCGGAGTAGTGTAGGTTAAATTATCGTAGTAGTGTAGGTTAAATTATCGTAGTAGTGTAGGTTAAATTATCGTAGTAGTGTAGGTTAAATTATCGTAGTAGTGTAGGTTAAATTATCGTAGTAGTGTAGGTTAAATTATCGTAGTAGTGTAGGTTAAATTATCGTAGTAGTGTAGGTTAAATTATCGTAGTAGTGTAGGTTAAATTATCGTAGTAGTGTAGGTTAAATTATCGTAGTAGTGTAGGTTAAATTATCGTAGGTTAAATTATCGTAGTAGTGTAGGTTAAATTATCGTAGTAGTGTAGGTTAAATTATCGTAGTAGTGTAGGTTAAATTATCGTAGTAGTGTAGGTTAAATTATAGTGTAGGTTAAATTATCGTAGTAGTGTAGGTTAAATTATCGTAGTAGTGTAGGTTAAATTATCGTAGTAGTGTAGGTTAAATTATCGTAGTAGTGTAGGTTAAATTATCGGAGTAGTGTAGGTTAAATTATCGTAGTAGTGTAGGTTAAATTATCGTAGTAGTGTAGGTTATATTATCGTAGTAGTGTAGGTTAAATTATCGTAGTAGTGTAGGTTAAATTATCGTAGTAGTGTAGGTTAAATTATCGTAGTAGTGTAGGTTAAATTATCGCACAGTAGAACGGGAGAGAGTACGTTACAACAGGAGACAACGGAAGAGACAGAGACAACAGTAGGGAGAGAGAACAGTACAACAGCAGATAACAGTACAGGAGGGAAAGAAACAGTAGAACATGAGACAACGGTGCAACAGGAGGGAATACAACAGTAAAACAATACTGTTCAAGAAAAATAACAATAAAACAGGAAAAATAACGGTACAACAGGATATATACGACGGTACAATGGGAGATATAACGGTACAACTGGAGATATAACGGGACAACAGGAGATATAACGGTGCAATAGGATATACAACGGTACAATGGGAGATATAACGGTACAACAGGAGAGACAACAGGAGAGAGATAGCAACCAACACGTCACAAATAGACCCTGGCCAATGACCAACACCAATCCGTCTGTTTCTCTCCCTCCCTACTGTTGTTATCCTGTTGTTCTACCGTTGTTCTGTTGTTGGTCTCCTGTTGCTTTCCCGTTACCCTGTTGATATTCCACGGTTATCCTGTTGTTCTTATCATCCTGTTGTTCTCCTGTTATCCTGTTAATGTTCCACTGTTATTCTGTTGATGTCCTCATGTTATTGTTCATCATTACATGTATTTGTTCTTGTGTTTCCTTGGTTGAACGGCCCACAGGTGTGTAGTACCCCGGGTGTGTCGTGCCCCGGGTGTGTCGTGCCCAGGGTATGTCGTGCCCCGGGTGTGTCGTGCCCCGGGTGTGTCGTGCCCTGGGTATGTCGTGCCAGGTATGTCGTGTCGTGCCCAGGTATGTATGCCCCCGGTGTGTCGTGCCCAGGTGTCGTGCCCCGGGTGTGTGCGGGGTGTGTAGTACCCGGGTGTGTACCCAGGTGTGTGTAGTGCCCCAGGGTATGTGTGTGTGCCAAGGTGCCCCGAGTGTGTCGTGCCCCAGGTGTGTCACCCGGGTGTGTCGTGCCAAGGGTATGTCGTGCCCTGGGAGTATAGTGGCCGGGTGTGTCGTGCCAAGGGTATGTCGTGCCCCAGGTGTGTCGTGCCCGAGAGTGTGTCGTGCCCCGGGTGTGTCGTGCCCTGGGGTATAGTGGCCCAGGTGTGTCGTGCCCGGGTGTGTCGTGCCAGGGTATGTCGTGCCCTGGGTGTATAGTGGCCAGGGTGTGTCGTGCCCAGGGTATGTCGTGCCCCAGGAGTATAGTGCCAGGTATGTCGTGCCCGTGTGTAGTGCCCCGGGAGTCAATACGGCGATGAAATATTATGTGGGACGCTACCTGGGGGCGCCAAGTGGCCCTCTGACGTCGACGCCACACCCAGGAATACCCACACTCTCTCTCTCTCTCTCTCTCTCTCTCTCTCTCTCTCTCTCTCTCTCACACACACACACACACACACACACACACACACACACACACACACACACACACACACACACACACACACACACACACACACTTCCTTTAAATTGAGATAGAGAGTTAAATGGAGAGAGGAAGATTGATAAGTGGCGGAAGCGGAATAAAAGATAAAAACAAAGGCAGAGAGAGAGAGAGTTTGGCTACAGGCATGACAAGTGACCCTGAAAAAAAGTGTAAACAGAACTAAAAGCCATGTCAGCCAGTCACCTGCTGTTGACGCCACCCAGCTGACTAGTGCTGACACCAACTAGCTAATGCAATCCTCGTGCTTACACCATCCTGCTGAGTCCTAATGCTGACGCCACCCATCTGACGCAATCCGAGTGCTAACACCACTCAGCTGACACCATCTTATTGTAGTGGTGATTTTACACTGCTGACGCAATCCTAGTATTGACGCAATATAGTGCTGACACCATCCTACTGATAGTTCTAATAGTGCCACCACCGTGCTGATTTAGTCCTAGTGCTGACTCCACTTCGCTGACGCAGTCCTAATATGACACCACCCGGCTGATGCAGTCTTAGTACTGACTCCACACTCCTGACGCAACCCAATGCTGACGCCACCTGGCTACAGTGATCTTAGTGCTGACACCACCCGGCTGACAGTCCTTGTTCTCTGTATAAGTGGCGAAGATGAACCAGAGTGGAGCTCTTGTGTGGTTGGTAGAGCCTTGACGTGTGAGTCTGGGTAAGTTAAAACACAATGACACCAGTGTCCAAAAAATGGCATCAAAATTGCACTGAGACTTTACTTTAACTAAATACGTTCACTTCACAACAGTACGCGATCTTTCCCGAGATTCTGAGCATGAATTTTGTCTCCAAAGTGTAACTAAGGGAGTGTATCAAGTTAAGGTATTCTCAGTGCAAGTTTGTCTTGTAATTGGTGTTAAATTTGTGCTTTATTTTATGCCAACCAGTTACGTACAGTATCTCAAAGAAGTATCTGTCCACACTATGTGTGTAACAATATGAGACCACAGATGATAAATATTGGGACATAGATTTACATAGGTAATACAATGTGCAATTATTTTGGTGGAATTAATATAATGTTCTGTTACCAAATGTAGCAGGATCAGTATACCACAGAGCCATGTATACCAACCCACCTGGAACATCATGAGTTGCATGTAGCATTTTGGAAGTCATCGACCCATCCTGGCAGATACTTCTGATTGTGTGACGTATTGTGTAACTAATACGATATAGTGAGTGTCTGTATATCACGTATAGTTAATACAGTAACACAATCGGGCGAATTCTTTTAAAAATTATAAAAAAGGGATATGCTAATACTTGCTTTCATTATATTTTTTTATTCTTCGATTTACAATAAATTTCTCCAATTTAGGATTGCATAGAATAGCAAATTCCATTATAACATATGAGAGAAATAGCTGTAGTGTCACTGGTAGCTCCACATAATCATGTAAAGCTGGACCAATGTGTAGCCAGATGCCAGAGCTTTGTACAAATAATTTTCTCCGGTTTGTCATATTGTTAGCGTAATTATGGTTTGACTGTACACAATCACCGGGAGAAAGGGGCCCCTGAGAACTGTCAGTCCTCCCGCTTCAAACTGTCGTACAGCATTTAGAGAAAGATGTTCTTAAAACGGGGTAGAACTTGAGATAAAGTGTGTGTGTGTGTGTGTCAAGGCCACCACTCATCACTCACAACACCCTCCACACTAGACGGACGGCGGAGGAAGTGGTGGTGGCGACGGTAATGACTTTGGAACAACCTGGCCAAGACACACACACACACACACACACTCTCTACATGATCCACCCTGGTCCACTTAAGCTAGATAAGACCGTAACTACAGCTGGGATGCTCAAGTCGTAAGTTGATTTTTTCTC